TAAAAGGCGGTGCCATCCCCCCCCTCCCCCCCCCCGCCCCCCTGTGTGCGCCGTTAACTTCCCACCTGTGGTTTTTCTGTTCGTTTCGATGGTCCAACTTTCTGCCAGAGCCGCTATCGCATACGTTGGCAAAAGCTGCTACACGCTCTTGCTATTTTCGCCACTGGCCCTTGACCTCAACTCTCGATGTTTCTCGAACGCTCCCCCCCCGCAGTCGCATGCATGCACCTTTTCTCGTGGCTAACGAACGTCTCCATTGCTGGTCGTCTCTATCCTGTCAGCCTAGCCTTACCTGCCTGTTCCCACCGGAAACTCCCTCTTTCGGTGCGTTGCTTCAATTTTCGGTCAACCCTTGACGATTTTTCACGTCGATTGCACGCTGTTCCAGGCCAGGTTTTCGTTTCGTACGTCATATTCTCTGAACTCGTCTAGTAGCCTTCCCGTGAGGTTTTAGCTTACTTGAATGACTACTCGACCTGGTTCGTTCGTGCGAGGTCGTTTGGTAACTTTTTTCCCTTCTCGAGTTCGTCCCTTGGTGTCATGGTCTTTTCTGTTCGGGTGTCTTGGTGATTGTCGCACGTCGCATGCCTTTTTCCCGATGTCATCCGCGGCCTCTGCCGTCCTTAGCTACTTTGTTCCGCTTTGGTTTTTGTTGACGTTCAACAGGTGCGGGTGAAGGTTAAGGTTTTGAGTTGTCGCATCTTCGATCCGTCCCCCAAACCTCTTGATGGGTAAGAGCCCGCCGAGGTTTAGCTTCTGTATCGACGTCTTCGACCACTCAGGGCTAGTGTTGCTGTGTACTTGGGGGTAGCCATGTAATGGTGCGTTACCATGGTTCTTTGGCGTTACATCAGATGTTTGTCATGATGTCAAGCAAGCTTGCGGCTTTGTGCCGAGCCCTGTGCCCGTCTGTTCAGTGTGCGATCGGTGTGGCAATCGGCTTGTGTAGGGTTCCGGCTGTCTTGTGTACACGCTAGGCGACAAGAAGAAAAGACTACACAACGGAAAACGGAAAGCAGAAACAACCTGCATCTGTGGTCGGAGAGCTGAGGAACATCCTCAAGGTGATTCATAACGAAAAGGTGCAAATCTCATAACGTCAGTGTAATGAGATTTGCACCTCTTCTTTATGATCATCTTGAGGATCTGCCAAAGTTGTCCGACCACAGATGCAGGTTTGTTGCTGCTTTGCGTTGTCCTTCCCGCATTTTATCTTCTTGTCACCTAAGGCGTACAAAAGCCACCCGGAATCCAACACAAGAATATTGCCACCCCAATCGCCCACTGAACAGAAGGGCACAAGACTCGGCATGAAGCCCCAAGCTTGCATGCCGTCATTCCCATACATTTTACAACGCCAAAACCATGGCAACGCCCCATCACATGGCCCCCTCCAAATACCGTAACATACGCCCTCCCCCCCCCCCCCGATTCCTCCCTCCCCTCCCCTCCCCCGGTGTTTGCCATCGGGGTTGGGGTTTCGAGGCTTGGCAACGACGAAAAACACAGTCGATCACTTCGTGAGCTAGGCAACCAGGTTACCGCTTGTTTTTTGCCCTATCACAATGGTGGTCGAGTAGATTATGTTGTGCGGGGTCGAGAACCCTCACTCCGTTCAAAGGGGATGATTCGGACCACGTTGTGTTAAATCGGTCAAGCACCCTCGAGGCAGCTACACAGTGCTCGTAACTGTCCCTGGAAGTGAAAGCACCAGAAAATAAACTAAGTCATACGCAGCTGTCATCCGTACGCAAGGAAGTAAGCACAACGTGCCGAACACCCTTAGCAGGATGCAGCGCACTCCCCATGCGACTCGCCGGACACCTCACGGCGCTTCGCGCTTGGTGATGTGAGAGCCTGGTCCGGTGAGAACCCGGCGTGCTCCGTCCCGGCTTTGTAGGGATGCGAGGTCAATGGTCTCACGACTACGGCACGCACGACTATGAGCACCCTCCCCGTCCCCCATCTCACATATTTGTCTGGACCCTCTCCATGGAGAGAGGAACATCCTGCCCCGGTGTGACCCCCGTCACCAGGGTGTACCGAAGGGCGTCCGTCCCGTAGCTGTCCATGGTGTCGATAGGGTCCACCACGTTCCCCTTCGTCTTGCTCATCTTCATGCCGTTGCCGTCCTTCACCAGACCTTCATCATCATTTTTGTGGTACAACGGCTAGTTGGGGGAGATAAAAGTGGGAGTATTTCAAACAGGGGGGCTACGTTCCTTCTCGTGAGAAGCGTTTCCGTCACAAAAATTCGTCTCGCGTCTAGAATTCGCCGATCACGCTCCAATCAGGTATATACCAATTACTACTACTTGTTCGAGAACGTGCTTGCTCTGTGGGGATGCAGCACGCATAACCGCGAACCCGGGCAAAAAAACACAAAACACCCGCGCAAAAACACAAAACACGCAGAGAGATTTAAGTTCCGGTGGTGACTTCTGAGCAAGAGATAAATTCGTTTGTGCTTTGGTACGAAAATAACAACCACGCAACAAACGAAAACACACAAAAACAGACATACGTACACACGGCCACGGGCGCCTCGTGATGGTAGGTAGTACCTGAGGTCATGCCGTACCCAATACGTCACTAATACCACCCTCGGCGTGTACCTGGCACCCGCAAAACGGACACAATTCGACGAAAAAATATCCAATACCCGGCGTGTACCGTACCTTCCGCTCGCACAACACAACGTTGAAAACAATTCCAAGTAGTTTTGGCGGGAGCAAGGTTTGTTAGAAAGGGTAAAATGAGGCACACTAAATCAATATAAGTGTATGTTTGTAAGTGCTTACCGTGTAGGTAAATGGTGTCAAACGGCGACTTCCCGGTGAGCTCGATTCCCATCATCACCATCCTGAAAACAACAAGCCAAAACCAAAAGGGCGAGAGGCGGAGAGAGAGAGAGAGAGACCCGAGGGAGAAAGCGTTAGGGCGAGGCAAGGCCAGAGAGACGGGAGTGACTGCAAACACAAACACGCACGACGAATGATACGGAATAAAAGAAGCACTAATCAACTCTGTTGTGCAAATGTGCCTGCATTGCTGCTGCTGCTCTCCCTCTCTCCTCTCTCTCTCTGTGAAGAAACAACGAAGAAACATGAAAAATACAAGACATCTTGGATGGCCCAACGATGTCGCACTAAGAACTTCCCATGTATGTATGCGTATGTAGTTTCATTTTGTGACTTCGCCTGGGGGAGGGGGCGACGGAACCCCTCCCCCAGGCGAAGTCTCTCCAT